TGTTCTTTCTTCCATTCATTTTTTCTTTTTCCATGCGTTTTGTACCCCCTTTTAGTTTTTTTCTTCTTGGGGTGTTTTTGGGGTTTGGGGGAAAAACCTTTTGGGGGGGAAATTCTTTGTTGGTTTGTTTTTTGGGGGGGGCAGATCCCTGGGAAGTTTTGGGGGGGTTGTGTTGGGGGGGGGTAAAACATAGGGGTTGAAGGGGGCCCCTCAGGGCTTATTCCTGGGCTTTTTAATTGTTTTGGTTTTTCCTTCCTCTTTCGGGGTCCTGCCTTTTCATCCTCTTTCCTATTTGGTTTTCCCTCCTTTTATATTTTCCTTGGTTTCCCCAATTCTTTTATCATTTTTGGCCCTCAGTTTTTTTCCTTGGGAAAACCTTTGTTTTGTGTTTTGGGTGTGGTTTTTTTTTTGGTTGCGGGGGTGGCCCCCCCCCCCCCCCCCCCCCCCCCCCCGGCCCCTTTTTGTTGGGGGCCCCCCCTGCCCCCCGAACCCCCCCCCCCCCCCCAAGTGGGGGGAACCCCTGTCTCTGTCCCCTTGTCTTTTCCCACCGGTATTTTGTATGCTTATCATTTTCCCCCTGACCCCCCTGTCCTCCAATGTTGTCAGCCCAATTTAGTTTAACCTTTTTCAAGGACTTTCCCCTTGGGTTGGGGAACTAGCTTGTTGAAAACCCCTTTACATTTTCTCTAATTTCGAGGGTTTGACCAGATGTGGGTTCCAAACTGGTGTGCGTACCCGTATGTGCCTGGTACACAATGTATGAAGTTTGAACGTTTCCCTTCGGGGGCACCGGAAGCTATTTCAGGTTTGCCAAGCCCCCATATGCCGCAGCAGTTACCCGATTAATGTGTGCTTTGGCGTTGTACTCGGTATTTTTACTCACCCCTAGGTTTTTCTCCTTGAGGAGGTTTGCACCTTTGGCCCCTACCCTATACTCTTTTTTGCGGTTTTTTTTTTGCCCTCCCCCAATCTTATGCTTTGATTGTATTAGATTAGCTCTCTCCCCTGCGCTCCAGTGTACAGTTTATCCGGGATATAAACCCCACTGGTTACCCAGGGAAACTAAGCCTCCGGATTAACAAATCTAATAAAATTTTACTCATAAAAAATATTAAAAAATTTATTGGGTTAGTAACTATGGTTTTAAATTTTTTGGTTTTATTGTAAAATTTCTACTGCGAAATTAAAATTAACATCACTTATTGAAAATTTTTAACAAATCAAATTAATTAAACAGTTATTATTTTTTTATTTTTATTTTTTATTTTATTATTTTTTTTTATTTTTAATTTTTTTATTATTACTTTATTATTTGTTATTATTATTTTATTTTTATTATAAATTTTTTTATTATTATTATTTTTAAGTTATTATTGTATTATTATTATTTTTTAATTTTATTTTATTATTTTATTTATTATTTTTTCTTTATTTTTATTTTATTATTATTTTATTATATTATTATTATTATTATTTTATTTTTCGAGTTTATGGGCTTAAGCCTGTGGGGTCGACAAAAAAAGGAAGTAACGGAAGGTGACCCGGTTTGATCCCAGGGGCAGGGGGGGTAGTGTCGCCCGTTCCTGGGACAAGAGCTCTTCGCCAGCTTTCAAACTGCCCTTTATGCGATGAAGTCTCTTGATTCAAGGAACTGGATCATGAATATAAATGATTACCTTTGGGTTCCCCCCCGGCACTGTATGACCCCTGGATTTTAAAAAAAAAAATAATAGCAATAATAATAATAATAATAATAAAAATAATAATAATAGATGATTGATGAAAGAACCTTATTTTTTTATCACTTTGTGGTTTCAGGGGTCGAGTCAAAGGGTCCTGGCCCCCCCTCTTCGCTGGGTGTGTGTGTGTGTGTGTTGTGTGTGTGTGTGTGTGTGTGTGGTGTGTGTGTGTGTTGTGTGTGTGTTGCGCGCAAATACTGGGGAAACCTTGGGAGGTATAATACT